GCCATGGGCATCTCTGGTCGAGTCTCTGTGGACCTTTGTGGAGTGACGGGAGGACTCTGCCGATTAGATCGGTTGGCTGATCTTCCTCTCGCCAACTCGTTTTACTAATATCAGAACCGACACTTATCGCTCCGATACCAACCTCGCTCCCTGTGCTGTTTTTCGGCCGGAGCGTTTTGGTTCGTGGAAAGGTCCGGGAAGAACAACAAAGATGAGGTGTGCCAAGGGTTTTGGGGAAAATTGAGTGTGGGGACATAGGCAGAACTGAGATCCCTCGTGTTGGTCCGACTTTAGTAAGAAGGGGTCCGTCGCTGCACAGGTTGAGGAAAAAAAAAGGCGCGCGCGGGGCTCACAGTGATGGAAAATTCAATCCAAAAAGTATCGCTGTACTTCCCAGCGAGCCGTTTGCCTACGTTTCGAATGAAAGGGGGAGGGTACACACGTAGTATCTCGTTTTCAGATGAAATCCCGTCGGTGTTCACTACAAAACTCCGAATCCGACGTGGAGGGCCTCAATCGAGTGGCTCTCTCCTTATGTTCGTCCTCGCCACGTGTGCGGTAATGGAAGCCCTTGGCTCGGTAACGCTCGGTGCGAGGACAGTCGCTGCACAGAGTGTTAGGCCAATGAGGCACCACTGCCGACCACGGGATGACGATCAACTCATTAAACGACAACAACAACGAATAAGGCGGAAAGTGCGTATCGACAATGACGAATCCCACACCGACGAATCCGTAGCATCGGGTCTCGGGTGAAAAATAATAACGCTCACTGATTTTAGCGATGACTTCTCGTACATCCCACTCGCATACACGCGTCCTTTCCTCGTTGTACGGGAAGGGGCGAGGTAGGGGCACGAGAAGTCGGCGCCCAGTCGGTTATGGGCAGTTGGTCCACATGGCAAAAGAACAAAGCGCAAAATCCTTCGTAATCATGCATCGTTCATTCAATGCACTACTCAATCCAATCCCGCTGTTTCATCAGGTCAACCAATCAACATCCTTGTCATTCTTGCACAAGTTCTCAGACACAATCCACTTGATGCACATATCAAGGTGTGAGGAGAGAAATCACCAAAGTTCATCCCGTAAAAAGGTGTGAGGGAGAAGAGACGTAGTTCAGAAGAGAGAAGAAAGCAAAAGATAATTATACAAGAAAGTCTGGTGATCTTTGACGGAAAATTTCGGCTTAAATGTCGTGTGAACGGAACACACGCTCGAAGACTAGACTTGAGGTAAAAGAGGCACATCCCTGTGCAACCGTATGAACGCTGTGAACGTGCGTTCACATTCAAACGCGCGCGTTCAAACTCCCCAGCCCTGCGTTCATTCGCGTGCAAACACGCTACGCGTGCGCGTGCGCGAAAAAATTGAATGCGACCTCGCGGGGCGCGCGCGCGCGTCGGGGGCTACGGGGTGGTGGTCCGCATTCGACGAACCCCCAAAATGCCAAAACCGCCCCCCGGGACCACCCAATAGCCCCCCTGCCCCACCCCCAAAACCGCCACCTGCCAAGGCCCCACACCCCTACCCCCACCCAACAGAGGGCCTCTGCGCCATTGCCCGCCATTGCCCGCCAGCACCACCGTCCGCCCGTGCCTCTGCACCACCTAGGTACGTTTTTTTTTTTTTCTTCCCCTGCCCACAATTTCAACCCCCCAAACCACGCCACGCATTTACACACACACACACTGGCACACACACACATTCACACATTCACACACGCATATGCACACATGCACATGCACACACAAATTCACACCGTCGCACACAAACGGGCAATTTTTTTTTTTTTTTTTTTTTTCGCCAACACGTACAACCCCCCAAACTCCACCACCCATTTACACACACAAATACACACACACATACTGCGACCTTTGTTTTAATTTTTTTTTCCAAAATATCTGTTTTTTTTTTTTTAATATCGCAAAACAAGCGGTTAGAGAAATTAAAAAAAAGGGTTGCAGGCAAAAAAATAAAAAAGGTGGTTTGGGGGGGCAGGGGGGCGACGGGAGGGTTTGGGTTATGAGGGGCCTGGAAGCACTTTGGGGGTTTGGGTTTTGTGCGTGTTCAAATCGCGCCAAACCCTAACCCCCTGAGTCCGCCCACGCCCCCGGGTACCCGAGGTTTTTGTGGTGCTCATACAGTGGGAAGTGAGATTTCAGAGACACAAAGGGCGGACTCAAAGCACACAAAACACTCGTCGTCTGAAAACAGAAACATCGAAAATTCCAAGATGTAATCGAAGCAAAACGCAAACCAATATAGCATGGACAATAGCAAAAATCTGACACATCGTGTCAAAGCCCCGCCAGTCTATGGAAAGAAGTACCAACCCAAAAATTCCGACGAAAAAGTACATTAAAAATACACTAGAAAGCTACAATCGCCGAAGTACCAAACTGCGCAGAAAAGTACCTAATGGAAAGTACACTATAATACAACATCACGAAACACTACATCTGTCATGGATAACAAAAAACTAAACTCGAACGAAAAGGTCATCTACTCCTACGAAAGTAGACTATAATACAACATCACGAAACACTACGTCTGCGCAGAAAAGTACCGATTGGAAAGTAGACTATAATACAACATCACGAGACACTACGTCTGTCATGGATAACAAAAAACTAAACTACACTGAGAAAGCCAAGAAAACGCAAGTCTGTAGTCCATCAACAATCGTCGTGTGCACGTGGATCTCGCTCGAACCGATGAGAACCTCGTCTGTGGGACCGACCACTGCCACGTCCTTTATCTCTCTGACGCTGGGCGCCGCGTCTGCCAGTGGAAGGTTCGGGAGCGACGGGAGGCTCGCCGGGGTCGTCGTCCATAATGACTCTCCTGCCTCTCACGGTCCTGATGCCTGCGGCTGCTAGGTCATCATGTCGGCGTGACTCACGTGCCATAGGTAGACCGTCTGTCCCTGAAGTCTCCTCCTCCTGGCGTCGATCTAAGGGCACGTGTCTCTCCTGCCTCGGTCGTGTAACAACATCAGGCTCCCGCAAAATAATCGACGCCTCTCTCAAACCGTACGTCAGGGGCGGATCCACTGCGCTCCCCGCGGCACCGCCTGCACCCTCACGTCTGCTGTCGCCGTCGCCACCGCTGGCACTGCCGCCACCGCCTCTACCACCAAACCCTGAAGCTACAACATCTCGACGTCTCACGCTCGTGGAAGCCCCTCTCAAACCTGGCTGACGACCGACGCTCGCCGTCGTCACCCGTCTCGTCTCGCTCCATGGCCGATCAGTGCGACCGAACAACATGGTGTCCAGCAAGGTCCACGCACGCTCGGTAGTGTCTGTCCGTCTACGGGCAACCGACCTCGGGCTGAGACTGCCGCCCTCCCTCGGAGCTGCGGTCAAGGGTGACGAAGGGTCTGCAGCGCCGCCAGATGGCGCTGCGACGGAACCTCCAGAAGGTAAGCCCCCTGCAGCCCCGCCAGATGGCGCTGCGACGGAACCTCCAGAAGGTAAGCCCCCTGCAGCCCCGCCAGATGGCGCTACGACGGAACATCCAGAAGGTAAGCTGGGGCTGGCTGGCCCCCAAGACAAGTCCTGCACGTGAGGCAGCTTCCCCTCCTTCGGGACTGACCTGAAAATGCGCTGGTCGATCTCCGTCAAATCCGTCCTGCCGTGCTCCTCCAACTCCTCAGCGGTCATAAAACCAAAAGGGAGGCTGCCCCGAGGCGTAGCCACAAGCCTAATCTCCGCCCTCGTCCGTGACAACGCAAAAGTAGGGACCGGGGGTATGCACGCGCCCCTGCCTACACGTCGCTCCTCGACCGGGCCACCGCCATGTGCACGATGCCGATGACCCTCCAAAAACGGTGCCTGATGTGGCACCACTGCCCCTACAGCAGTGCGAACCACCAAAGTCTGTGGCATCTCCTATCCGTCCGCGTTACGTCTGTCCACCTGTGCGGGATCCCCCTCGCCAGACGTGGACATCGGATCGGCCTAAACAGGCACCCCCACCCCGCCAACACCAACGGCCCCCACTACGGCCCCCTCCCCCCCGGTGGTCGGTGCTATCCCCTCCGCCTGTGCCGATGGGCGAATATCATCAACGCCCACTGACTACCCGGTCTGTATGTCCTCCAGACCCGGGGACATCTGCACGGCACCCTCAACTGAACCCGTGGGCAAGGGCACGCTCGCGACCTCGTGCAATGTCTCCTCGAGCCTCAGCTGGACGGCAGGAGGCTGCACCGGCTCTGAACGTGGCTCCTCTGTCGGTGCCAACCCGCTCTCGTGCGTCCCCTGATGAACATCTACTCCCGTACTCGAAACCTTTGCTGAAGCCGCCTCCCGCTACGTCGTGTCGTGAACCTTTAGGATCCGTGTGTGCAGCTGGCGCTACGTCAACGGACGCCGGCGTAAATGTCCCCAGCTGCCTCCGCCGGTCCTCGGCCGCAAGACGGGCGAGCTCCTGCGTCCTGGGGTTCCTCTGTGCCATGAGGCCAGCTCGAGGACTATTAAGCCTATCCAGCCTCTCTGCAGATGTCTCTCCACGGGGTGTCCGGTCCTCATCCCCCTCTGCCCCCAACATCACCTCTGTGCGCATGGCAGGGGAGAAACTACTTGGGTCTGCGAAGCTGATCTGTCCCAATAAGTCCTGCATACCCACACTGATGTCCCCACGGGACTCGCTCTCTCCTCGGGCCAGACCCACGCTCTCTCCCGGGGGCATACCCACGTCACCAAAGTCATTAAAACCGCCTCCGCCGCCCATCGGTATCCCCTCAACCGCCACAGCAACCTCGGCACCGCCTCCACCTCCGGCCAACGCACCACCATCTCCACCAGCCAACCCCTGTCTATCTCCGTCGTCCCCCTGCACCGGTGAAGGACCGCCCTCTAATCTGTCCTCCAATCGCTGTCTCGGGCCCCGCACCAATCTCTGCAATCGATCATCCCCGGCTGGCTGTCGATGAAGCTGCTCCGTCGAAGTGGGAAGAGCGGTGGATGATGCCGTGCAAGTACGAACACGCGCAGGACGATGGCCAATCCCTGACTCTGCCCCCCTCGAAGGTACAGACTCAGGATCTCTCTCCCGCTCAGCGGACCACGGGCCAGTGGACGTAGGCCTCTGACGCTCTAGAGGGATCCCATGAGGACCCCCAGACTCCTTGGCGGTAGCGGGGCCCGCCGGCTCGTCCTCATCCTCGTGACCCTCGGAATCATTGTCGTCTCGAGGGTACGGGTGCAATGTGGCGGCTCGAGTCTCGAAAACATCGCCCACATCACCCGGAGGAGCTCTGGACCCACATGGGTCTCGCTGCCAAGAACGTCTCTGATCCTCGAGCTCTTCCCGCGTCCTGCTCTCGTCCGTCCCCTTCCACGAGGGGCGAATCCCGATACCTCCCTCCACGTCCAACAACGACTCATCTAGAGTCCACGGTAGCGCGAACCCGCGGCCTGCCCGCTGATGAGAGAGAAGGCGGATGTTGGCTGAGGAATCGCCGACAGAGGGAGGGGTCAGATTCCAGCAGTGGAGACACGAGGGCTGGGATGGGACCCTGGGGGTCTGCAAAGACGAAGACGAATTCACTCAGTTCCCACGGGGGGCAGTGAAGGAAATAAGGGTGAGGGAGGTGGTGGATGAGGAAGGAAACTAGAAGGTGACGTTGTGGAATCAAGGGATACAAATATCAAGGCTTAAAGCAGATCCCAATCAATGGGGGTGGAGAGGGAGAGGCGCTCACGGGGAGACTGCTCTGTTGGACGAGTTCTCACTCCAGTTAGCCTACAACGTCCAGGCTCCAACCAGAACCCCCTTGGTGGCAACAGAAAGATGGAGTCGAATCCACTTGGAGCATACGGAGGAAATTAGCGAAGCCCCACAAAGATCTTGGGAACAGTTGGCGGAGGCTCCATATCCTAGAGCTGCTGCACTGCTATGGCTGGCTTCTCTGTTGGCGACCCCTTCAGCAGTGTCACAGCTAAGCCGGGGTTTGCAGGTGGACACGCAGTGTAAAAGATGTCTGTGGGGTTTCGAGTCAACAACACATCTTTGGTGGGACTTCCCAGCCTCAAGACGGATTTGGGTATGGTGGGCTAGACAATGGGAGGAGTGGACCGGAGAGGAGTTGAAATAGGACAGGGATTGGGTGTTACTGGGAGGGGTCCCAGAGACCCTTCCCTTGTCGAAGGGATGGGGTTACGTAGCCCAGGTAATCCGTGCGGTAGGGTTCTGGGTAATTTGGAAGGAGAGGAACAGGTCCCAATTTGAAAGTCGAATCATGCCAGACCAGGAGATTAAGTCCACATTCAAAGCCTTGGTTAGAAGAATCATTTCGGCGGATTGGAGAAGGAAGTTTATGAGGAGTAATGGCAGGGCAACTGGTCTCGTCTGGTTTCAGGAGACTTGGGCTCATGGTGGTAAGTTAGTGACAGTGAGAGGGGGGGAGGGTTTGCAGTTTGTAGAATGGTTAGTGAGCTAGACATACCAGGGCACTCGGTTCAATCCACAGTAGGAGGCAGAAGAGATGGGGGTTCGAGAGTGCCTAGGACCCAGAGGAACCCCGTTAGGTTCCAACCGCCGTGTAGGTAGCTTGAGGGTTGAAGAGTGGGTGGCTACCAGTAGGGTTAGATTCGCTTTGTTTGTTGGATAGTAGTTAGATAGTAATTAGGTCATCAATAGTAGTAGTTAGGATCTGGGTGAAGGGTTTTAAACTGTGTCGTCAGGCGAATGCCCACAGTGGTTGCATGTCGGATAGAGTAGGGTTTGGTAGGTTTTATTAAGGAAAAGAGCCAAAGAAACAAAAAGATATTGCCTGTGTTAAGGTAGCGCTGCTTTTGGTATGTTTTGTTTACAAGAGTTGTTGAGCTGAACGCTCACGGAACATGGTGCTGGGAGGTCCCAGCAGTCCTGTCTGAGTCGAACCGGGTTGTTTGTGAGGATTCCCGGCCTCATGATTGATCTTTGATGGAGTTCTCACTTTTTCCCAAAAAAAAAAAAAAAAAAAAAAAAAAGGGAAAGACCTTCATCGTGCATGGACTCGCATCCTTGGAATGATGAAGATCCGCCCCACATGATTTTTCGTACAAAAAAGAAAAACAAAGTGTCGATAAAGGGGGATTATGGTCGCTAGGTGACGACACTGCCAGAGTGGCTACTTGCCCGGCCGAGTCAAAAAAATAAATAAAAGAAAAATATTAAAATAATAATAACTTCAATTTTAATTTTTAATTTGGTAAGGATTTTAAATGTGACCCTGAGACAAAAGTTGTTCAGTTTATTTTTCTGTATAACATAATATTTTTTTCAGATTTTTTAGATTTTATTTTTTTTTGTTTTGCTGGGACCACCTTTGGTCCCTGAACGGCCAGGCTACCCGGGCAAAACAAGGTGACCCGGGCGACGCGGCTGGTAGCCTAGCTAGGTAAGTCTTTATCCTCATTAGGAGGTTTTTTTTCTTTTCTTTCATCCTTGCTTAGGGGCCATGCTAAAAAAAAAAAAAAAACGTCATAAGTTTGAATCCTTTTTTTTTTTTTTTTGCATAAATTTGAATCCTGACGGTATGAGATGGAAAATTGAAAAAAATAAATAAAAAAAATGGACACCAAAGTTGGGCTCTAGCCGTTTCAGACCAGCCTATTTGTAGGAAGCTGCCTTCCAAAGGCTGCAGAGCCTCTATTAGCGCCCAGGCATATTGAGGGTCATGCTCTCACAGCCTACACATGTAAGAGCCCAACTTAGCTTCGGACAACTGATGGGCCACCAGTACATTTCTGCAATGCAGCAGTGCTTGCACCGCGTGTGGAGGGATGTACCAATGTTTCATTGTCTATTGCGGGGATGCACGGACAACAGCACTAGGGGCCTATGGGGCTCGTTCTGCACTCCTCGGGCCGTCCTCGGGGCCCGAGGAAATTCGCACCGTCGTTCCGCTCATCCTCAGAATTGTTCCCCGAGGACGATTCCTCGGGGCCTTTCACGGCCAGCTTCATATATCGACAAGTGGACGCGGGGGGCGGGAGGAGGTTGGTCCAGCAAGGTGTGTTCGTGCCGACGTTGTTGGTCCAGCTCGGGCAGGCGTCGCAAATTCGAAAGTTGGCGGCGGAAAAAAAAAATGGCACGAAAAAGGCGCGCAGTCCGGGTTCAAAATTTGAAATTCGAATTTCCGCAAGCGACTGACGGCGGTGTGGGCGTCCCTTGCGGCTGACGGCAGCAATGTTCCTCGACGGAAACGTTTCGGTACGGGGTGGCAGCTCCGTGTCGGCGGGCACGGCGAACGTACATGTACGCGTCCGAAGCAGCAGACACGCCGTCACACGATCACCATCGTTGTCGTCTTCGCAGACGCACCTTCGTCATCAACGTGTACGCTGTGCACTCCGGTCGTCATTCGCAGCATCGTTGTTGTGCGGAGTCTTCTGCACTTCGTGATGCCCACGTCGACAGTACCAGTTCCGGTGATGGCCATGAACGGGGAGGCGGGCCGTGACACACTGAGCAAGGCGGAGAGGACGGCGGTGGCAGCGGCCGTGAACGCCATCCTCTTCCAGTGTCAATTGCAGAGGAGCGAGGGGAGGATGGGAGCGGCCATTCGCGCACGGTGGAAGAGGACGCTGCAGTCCATGAATGTGGAGGGAGAGGACAGTGGTGCCATTTTTTTATTTATTTATTTTTTTTTTTAATTTTTTTTTTAGCTCCATCTATTGGTGGGGAGCTACACCTGCTGGAAACCGGGAACACCATCCCTTACATCATGAAAGTTTACATTAGGATAGAGGAAAAAATTTCAGTGGTCCCTATGCTGGAAACCGGGTCCAGCGTCCCCTTACTATTGTCTTTTATTCCAAAAGAAAACGATTCCTTCCTCTCTATCACCTTTCCAACAGATCCTTCCAATCTGAAACCATTACTACAAATACTAAAAAATAATCACACACAAGGTGCAAGAGCCTCTTCAGTCAGAATTCTGACCGCCTGATGAAAAAAACTGAACCTAGCCTCCCCCTGTGTAGACCCCTGTACGAATACGGGCCGTCCGTGTGTACGTACGGGCTCATGTGGTTGTACGGGCTATACGTACGGAAAAAAAGCAAAAAAAAAAAAAATCAAAAAAATCTGAAAAAAAAAATGAGATGCAAAAAATAAACTGAAACACTTTTGCCTCAGGGTCATATTGAAATTCGTTACCAAATTTGAGATAAAAAAAAAAAAACTTTTTTTTTTTTTTTTTTTTTTTTCGTACGGGGTTGTACGTACGACCGTATGATAACCCCCCCGTACGTCGTACGGAGTCTCTTTCATTCTGCCTAATCCTATGTTCTGTCCTCCCCCCTCCAAACCACTCAAGATCCACCAGAGCTAATTAAGAGGGAGGAAAGAGATCAGCAAACAATTCAGGTGCTCTTAAGAAAGCCCCTGGCTGAATGTCAAGCCAATTATGAAAGTTGATCTGGTAATCCCGTTTCATCCTCCCCTGGTCCTCTTCCTTCGCTGACCATATTATTTCCCCCAATTTCTCTCCTGCTGCAGCCCCTAGCCATTCCTGTTGAAACTTTAGTATTCCTTGTTTTATGTCTTTTTTTTGTTTAAATTCCTTGAGCTTTGTTCTCATCTTCTCCCATTGGCTTCTCAGTTCCGTTTGGACAAAGTTTTGTATTATTTCTGTCAACTCTTCACTTTCAATCTTCACCTCTTCTATTTCGTTAATACAATGTTTGTTTCATAGAGCCCATAATATCGCTTTCCTCCCAAGGTGACAGAGGTTCTTTGGAACTCAGATAATTCTATTAGTTGAGGGTTTTGGTATCCTAATAATATTTCCCTCCATTCCTAGGGTCAATCCAAACTTGTAAATCTCCGCCACACACACTCCCATCGACGCCATAACAAGACAGTGTCCGAACATTGTAAAAATATGTGTTCAATTGTTTCCCTGATTTTTCTTTTAGGAAAGGCCCGTGCACAAGAGTTACACCACGACAATGCCACTCCCTTCTGTTCTAACGTGGAGTGATCTATTAACTAGTCCTTCGTTGGTAGACAAATGTGCTTGTAAGGATGCATACTTGGCAGACCGTTCTCTAAGTCCCTGACACCACCTGATTGGTTTAAGCTCGTTTTCGTAGATGTTCAGGTGTCTTTGCCATCTGTTTTGAACCATTTCTGGGATGTTAACTATGGGGCGCATTAGTCTATATGTTGCTTTAACTGATAGGGATTGCAACCTCATAGGTTTGCATCTCCTATTTGAGCGCCATAACCAGTCCGCAGGATCCAGGGGGAGGTCTGGGATAGGGCTGAGGAAGGTACACTAACCATTCTTTGGTCGTTGTGACATACAATACTCTCACTCTATATATTTCCTCAAAGGAGACAAAATTCACCCTGCCCTGATCCTTTTTAGCAATCCTATTGTCCCTGTGAATTTTGAATAGGTTGACAAGGGCATCATCCTCATGTACATCCAATATTTGCCCTATTGTCTTAGAGTTATCCTGATGATTCACCCCCACCCAATCCCCTACCCGAAAAACAGAGCCCTTTTTCAAGAAAACTATCCAGGATAGGGGTATGGTTGAGAGGATTTCATCCAACTTGTTTAAAAGTTTATGTGCGTGCTTAATCTTTTTTCCGAACTTTTTCACAAATTTCCATTTTTTTTGCTCAGTATCCCATAGATCCTTGATTCTAATTACTTCATTCTTCACCGATGTGGACCATGGAGAATCTGAACTAATAAATACCCTTCCGTTCTGGTCTGTGATCCACCGATTGCCAAACAAGGGTTGTCTTAGGATTTTCTCGAACCTTGTCGGTATTGGCTTGTTAGGTAAGGGCTATTTTCGCTAGTATCTTAGATGGTTCGACCAGAAACCGTCGAAACTTAGGTATTTACTTGCTTCCCCTCATGCCCCTGGTTCCATCGACTGTATCTGGGCTCGAGGGATGGACGAAAACCTATCTTCCACCCAAGTCAGAGGGTGAACCTCCTTAATTGTTTGAGGTGTCAATCTTCGAATCTGTTCTAACGTCATATCTTGCCATGACAGATCCGTGGCCAGAATTAAACGTTTCAATACTTGTAATGCTAAAGCCTTGCATTGGATTTTTGGTCAATAAGTCCCAGACCTCCTTTGTCTTTAGGTTGAATTAATGCCTGTCATGCCACTCTTGGGATCGCGTGTGATGATTCTTGATCCCATTGCCACAGAAAGCTGACACTTGTCTCTGTAACTCATTTGACCACAATATAGCTTTGTACCAAATTGAGGCTAGCACCACATTGTTGATTATTAATGCCCTACCAAATATCGATGTGTGTTTATTCCTACACAACTTCATTTTTTCTAATGCAGGAGACAAAATCCATAAACCGTTTGAGTTAGGTTTCCCTTTAGCAGTCAGTATTACCCCTAGCATCCTAATATGAGCCTCCAGGGGCAACCACTTGATCCTAGGGAGTTCAGGTGGTCTATCCCCTTGAGAATGTATCCACCATCCTTGCGTTTTGTTACCCTAATTTACTACCATATCCGAGAGGGTCGAAAATTTTTCCATTAAAGTATTGACTTCCTCCATATTAGTCATAGAGGCCTCCATCATGATAGTTAAATCATCCGCGAACATCGAATAGATAAGAATTGCTTCCTCTGGGATGTTAGTGATCCGAAGGCGTTGAAGATTGTCGTTTGCTCTCAGGTTGACCCCTTAGATCCTCCATAATGATAACAAATAGGAATGGAGTCACGGATCCCCTTGTCTGACTGACCTTTGAAGAGGAATCTCGGGAGACAGTAGGTCATTAACCTGAATTCTCATTGTGGCGTTAAGGTGAAGTAATTGCACCCACCTTCTTATTGTTGACCCAAATTCTAGCTTAGCTAGGCAAGCGTCCAGGAAACGCCAATCGACATGATCGTATATTTTTTCAAAATCTATGAAGATGAAAGCTATATTTTATTTATTTTGCCTGAATAGCTTGATCATCTCATTGACTAGCAACATATTGTCCTGTATATTTCTCCCATAAAGAAAACATGTTTGGAAGGGATGAATAATGTCTGTCATTATTGGAATAAACCTATCAGCAATTACTTTTGCTAACATTTTATAAACCACTATCAACAAAGTGATTGACCTATAATTCCTTATGTTGTTTTTTTCTCCTTTTTTTTATAGTAATGTTAGGAGCCCTTGACCAACAATTTCCCCCATAGTACTGGCTATCTGAATCTGATAATAGTATTCCATCAGATCTTCTGACATTGAGTCCCACATGACTTCTCAAAATTCCTTTGGGAGACCATCCACCCAGGGGTTTTATCTTCCTCCATCTGCAGGAGAGCCGTCCAAATTTCATCCTTGGTAATTGACTCTTCCATTTTCTCTTTTTGCTCCGGCGATAATTTTTTTGTTAGTGGTTGAAAAAATTATTGAGTTTCTTGAGAAACTGCTCCGGGATCCACTGTAGATGTGTAAAGCTTCTTAAAGAAGTCATAGGCTTCCTTTAGGCTACTTGTCGACGAGACCGGCTCCAGATGAGGTGACATAGCTGAATCTATTAAAGTTTCTATGTTTGTCCTTCTGACTCTGGCATGTGCTAATGAAAAGAAAGAGGAGTCCATCTACCCTTCTGACTGGTGTTTTGATAATTTGCTCCTAACAAGGTAGCTTTTCCAACGTTCTTGTGCGATGGTGAGTAACTTGAATTGTCTCCTGAGATCCTGAATATCCTCCAAATGAGGAAGTGATGTGAGGTTTTCCTGTTGTTCATAAGACAATATTTTCTTTTGAATTTCCATTTCCTGATCATGCTTTTGTTTAGCGATTAATTTCGAGAATTCATTAGTTTTTTTGGCTAGGAAATAAAGTTCATTATTAAACCATGATATATATGACTCGTGTTTGTCCTTCGTGGTGTGTCAAAACTCTCATACCTCTTTTATATAGTTTCTAAAGCTTGTCATTTTCAGGAGGGATGAATTAAGCTTATAAAAACTCTTCCCACGGTCCGACTTTTTCCTAAAGGTCAGTAGAATGACATACATCTTGTGATCGACTCCCGACCATGGTCTTTGAGGGAAAATGTTAGCTCCTACCAATGCATGATCCAGGTCTTCTGACATAAGTATCAAGTCTATTCTAGATCTGGACTGGTGGGGAGAATCCGGATTTCTGATGCATGTAAAAATACGTTCTTGGGAAAAACCCCTGTTATACGTATCATATAGATTTTCGGCTTCACATAACTGTTGAATGATCATTTCGTCGTCCTCCATATAAGCAGGACATGACGAGGGGATCTCCCATCTGTCTAACCATCTATCTGGGGCTGCGTTAAAATCTTATGTCATTATGATAGGGATCTCATTTGGGATATGATTGCGAAGTTCTTTTTCCTTTCCTGTAAATCGTTAGGAGCATACACATTTAGAATGCACACTATTTTTACTTCCAACATTAATAATGCAGAGATCCATCTTTCGTTTTCTTGGTCCGCCTCCCAATGAATGACATCTGCCCTCGAATCTGGCGGTATCCAGATGGCAACCCCTACTGAACCATTGCGCGTCGCATATGCTTGGTACTTTTGATGCGGCCAGACCAGATTATGAGCCCTGTTGTGAATGGGGGAATTCATTAGGTGGGTTTCCTGAATACAAATCACATCCGACCACGATCTTCCTCCTACCTTTTTTAGTTGTTCTGTGATTGTCCTTC